TCTGTAAAGCAGAGTTCGTAACAATATCTGTTTCAAAGGACTATAGTGTATTAATGCAGGTGAAGTACTTAAAACATGTTTGGCAAATGGTAAGCACTTCGTAAATGCTAGTTATCACTATTATTATTCCTTTATGCCCTCCCACTTGTCCTTTTGAATTTCATACCAGCTCATACCCACAAACCGTATATTACCAGTAACTCAGATTTCAAAGTGTATTAGCCTGACCCTTCCCCTGTGGTATTGGAAGGTCAGCGAAGCAGGGAAGCAAGGCAGCCGTCCAACTTCTCACCCCACAGCAGCCCCTCCCCATGTGTTCATGAAATCGTAGAACCTTAGCGTCAGAGGGAGTCGAGGGGGTCAGTTACTCCCACCTAATAGGAGGGTTTTTATGCCATGCCCGTACCTGAGCCAGAGATCTGGGCAGAGGGAGAGGGGAAGAGGATGGAGTCCTCCACAGGGAGAAACACAGAATGGTTCAAAGCAAGCCCCTCCCTGCTCTCTGCCCATTTCTGCCTACTGTGCTGGGACATCTGTGGGAGATCACTGTGCTCTGGGAACTCTTTTTTATGGCTCACAAAACTGCCTTCCCTCTGGACAGCTCTCAGAGTTATGGGGCAGAGGTCTCCAAAGTGGGGCATAACAATGCCAGGGGGTGCCAAGACAGTCCATTAGGGTGGAAGCAGAAAATAATGACATTTATCTCAGTAGATATTTCTTTACCTAAATAAATGAAGAAATCAAACTGAGTACCTAATACATATGTTGGCTTAACTGCATGGATATAATTTCTGTATAAACTTACATCTATTAGCTCATGGGTCCGGCAGTTTAGAGGGCATGTCTAGAGATGACAAGGTTTGCCCTTTCATGGATGAGAATAAAAAATATCTCTGGGGGCGTCTGGGAGGCTCAGTCAGTTAAGCGTGTGACTCTTGATTCCAGCTCAGGTCGTGATCGCACAGTTCGTGAGACCGAGCCCCGCGTTGGGCTCTGTGCTGACAGCACAGAGCCTGCTTGGGATTCTCTCTCTCCCCCTCTCTCTGCACACTCCCCCCTCTCTCGAAATAAATAAATAAACATTTTGAAGAAGTCTCTCCATGGCAATGATAATTCTGGTGCTCACCTGCCTTTCACTGTCTTCCTAGGTACCCAGCTCCTCTGCATTGATGAGGGTCATGTAACTGGTTCTGGCCAGTACAAGGTGGGGGGAGTGGTCCACTTGGTTCCCAGGCTTGGCCCCTCAAGTAACTTGGGAGGTCCTTCCCTGGCTCCCAGTCTTCTCCAGTCAGCCGGTAGGGTGCAGACAGTCTCCCAGGGCTCCAGTGGAGGACAGAGCCAACCATGGAAGGTGCCTGGGTCTGACCTAGGTGGGAGGAGTGCTCCTGAGAAAGCAGCTCAGCTAGGAACATAGGTGACGGATTCTCTGGGGGGCAGGAAACAAGTATTCGTTGTTTTAAGGCACTGAGATGTTGGGGGAGGGTGTGTTGCTGCCTTATATCTTAGCTCACCCTGGCTCATTCAGTTCTCTCCATCACTCACTCCCCTCCCCCAGCTCCACTCTGTGGACATCTCATGGGCCCCAGCCAAAGGCCTTCGGGATCCTGAACACTTAACATTTAAGCGCTCAGGGTGTTCAGCACCAGGAAGTTGTGGTAGCACAGAGTCAAAATTATGAAATCAAATTCTCAAGCCAGACTACCTGGGTTCAAATCCCAGCTCTGGCCCTTATGATCAGCGTGATGTTCCGAGAAGGCGTTTTGCCCCTTTCTCACTTTATTTTCTCAGCTCAAATAAGATAATATTAGTGATTTTTATAGGGTTCTTGGAAGCATCAAATGAGAAAAATCCTTGCAAAGCAAGTTAGCACTGTGCCTGGCACACAGTAAATGCTTGATAAGTGTTAACTTTTGGCACTTCTGTTATTGCACCTGCAAGGTTACCTTCCTTCTGCAACCAGAAAGTCTTTCTCAAATTAAAAAGACAAATATGGATGCCCTCTTTCTGCCTGTGTCACTTTTGCCCACCTGACTCCCCCAACCCTCAGGCTCCAGGCGTGTGGCGAGGTGGACCTGGTCTGTCAGGAATGTGCCCCCACCCTAACCATCCTGAGCCCCAATCCTACAAGCCAGAGATCAATGGGAAATTTCTGAAGGGCTTTTGTTACCCCAATATCTGTCTCCTGGCTGGATCAACAATATCATTATCAAGGCATAAACTTCCAACAGAGAAGGGCGCCTGGTGGCTCAGTCGGTTAAGCATCCAACTCTTGATTTTGGCTCAGGTCATGATCTCATGGTTCGTGGGCTCGAGCCCCCGTTGGGCTCTGTGCTGACACTGCAGAGCCTGCTTGGAATTCTCTGTCTCCCTCTCTCTCTGCCTCTCCCCCACTCATGCATGAGAGCTCATGGGCTCTCTCTCCCCCACCCTCTCTCTCAAAATAAATAAATAAATTCAAAATAATCTCAACGGAGGCCTGATGCGAGGTTACCCTGCCTTTCTGGGACATATAGAGCTGCAGGGAACTTAGTGAGGCAGCCTCTGCCATTACTGGGTAGACTCATAGAGGAATTTTCTGTGTAATTAAATGGAAAACTGACTCCGTCTTAATCAGAATAAGCTTACCATTAGTCCAAGGCTTCTCAGACTGTAGCACACATCACAATTCCCTGGAGGACGGTTTAACGTAGCACTGGGTGCCCCCCCAGAATTTCTGATTCGGTGGGTCTGGGGTGGGGCCTGAGAGATAGCACGTCTAAAAAGTTCCCAGGTATTGCAGATGCTGCCGGTCCCTGGACCAGACTTCGAGTAGCTTTATATTAGTCCGTTTGTCAGCCTTTCAGATAATCGAGAGACCGTGATTGGGTCCCCCCGCCTTCTTTCCTCAGTTAACTCTTCTCCAGGTTAAACATGTTAGGACCTCCATGTTTCCTTATCCTGGATCAGATTTTGTCCCCAGTCCTGGGTATCCAAACGTCGAAAATACTGGGACCCTGTCCTCCGGGAGCTTACAGATATGTGGAAAATAAAAAATGAATCCACTACAATGTGACTGCAGTAAATATTTACTCTGTGCCTGCTGCATGTTGTGATTGTCCCCAAAGTCTGGTGATTCAACAGTGAGCAGGATGGCAGAGTCCTTTCTTGCCTCACAGAATCCCCTGGCCAGGGAGAGAGACTAAGCAATGGACAGGAAATTACAGCCCAGGGTTGTAAGAGTGTGGAGAGGAAGGGCCATGTGGCCAGAGTGTAGGCGACGGCTTCCTGGGGGAGAGGGTCGCTGGAAGGATAGAAGGACCCTGAAATAGGAATGAAGCTGGTATGGGACGGGGTGGGTGATTCAGGAGGAGGGGGAGAGACATACTGGAGCCTGGTGCAATGTGAGATTGGTGACAAGTGCTGTGTGGCAAAAAGGGGCTGTGCACGGGGCCCTGTGGGGTGAGGGTGGGCTGGCGCAAGGATGATGAGAAGTGGGGCGGGGTAGAGAGAGACTGCTACCTTCCGGGCGAGAGAAGTCGAAAGAGAGAGAAGAGATATTTCCAGAGGCAGTGCTGAAGATTTGTCTGTGATGGTTGGGCAGATGGCTACTTCACCAGGGTTGGAAACCATCATTTTTTAACAGGAAGTGATGCAGAAGATGGGGAGAATCTGGTAGGGGGAAAGAACACACACATCCGGGGCCAACAGGCCTGGCTTTGAGTCCCATCTCTGACACCGACTTACTGCATGACTTTGGCCGTGTTGCTCAATTTCTCTGTGTCTCAGGGTCCTCATCGACCAGAAGAAATGACAATTCCCAGGGTTGTCGGGAGACTTAACTGTTCAGATGGGTAGCTCCTGGCACATAGTTGGCACTCAGGAAACCCATGTTTCTGTGTTCTGTATGTCCTCCCTCGGGATCAAAAGAGTGGCTCCTGGAGGCCAGGAGGGCCAGCTTAAAGGATTGAAATCCTAAAGCTGAAGGAGCATGGATGGCAGGGACTGTTTCCTGCTTTCAGCTTCCGCCAAGCCGAGTGTGGAGATGTTCCATTGTTCCATTGTTCTGTGAGCTGACTGTGTGCCGGCTCAAAGAGGCGTGTGGGCACTGGGCGTGCTACAGGAGAAGAAAGGCTGGCACTCAGAGGAACGAGTTTTGATGGAGAAAGCGTCCCCCTTTGCAGAGCAAAGCACAAAGCTAAGATTCGCTAAGAGGAAGACAGCACCCTGAGACTTGTACTTGACAAGAATGTAAAAGGATTTCTATTGTTACCTTTGGTAAACGACACCGTAAGCGCTGAGTATGGTACAATACATCGCAGACTGGAGGTAATGATGAGTGCATCATTTTACAGTTTGAAATTACTTTCACTGACATCATTTGTTCAGCCATTCAACAAACATTTATTGAGAGCTCAGGTTGTGCTGGACACTCATCATCTTGGGTATTCACCCATAGTACTTTTCAATTGACTCCCTTTGGGGATTTTCCTTGCCTTCTATTGATGTGAGTAATCAGAAGTGACCCTAATTTCCTTTCCACTTCAGCCAGGCCTGGGGAAACTTCCATTTGCATTCCTTCCCCTTTGGTGATGCCTGAGTGGTTAGCTAGCTGTGGTTAGTCAATTCTGTTGGTTAATGAACTAAGCAAAGAGGTTAAGGTCACAGTTTTGATCTCCAGGGGCTGATTTACCTCTGCGCCTGTGTGCACCATCCTTCTTTCTCTACCCCCAGTGTATATGCTTCCTCCCACCTCCGTGCAATTTTTTTCAGCTACCAAGAGGCATCTCACTCCGGCCCCCTACTTATTGAGATTCAATGTCATTTCCTCAACAAAGCCTGACTCGCCTCTCAGAGCAGGTCAGGTGTCTCAGAGTACATTCTCATGGTGCTCTGTACTTCCCTAGTATGGCATTTATTAGTATTTGTAATGATACATTTATTTTTTATATTGATTAATATCTGTCTCCTTGTGTCAGTTAGGGTAGTGTTTAGCTGGAAGTAATAGAAAACTTGACTGGTTGTAGTGTAAACACATGAGGGTTTATTTATCTCTCAAGGCAAGATGGGCTATCCAACACCAGTCCAGTGGCGTGACAATGCCACACATGACTCAGATTCCCTTTCGTTTCTTCCTCTGCTCTCTGTAGCAAGTATGTTTAGTCCTTATGTTTACAAGATGGCTGCTTGTACTCAGGCATAGCATCTGTATTCCAGCTAGAAAGAAGGGACAAGAGGAAAAGTGAGTGTCCATTGACTACTGTTTACATCCCAGGGCCAGAACTGGGTCACGTGGCAACTTCTAGCTGCAAAGAGTCTGAAGAGTTAAGTTGTTGCTGTTGCTTTTGAGCTTTTACAACCTACAGAATAGGGGTAAACCAGAGAGAAAGGGTAAGCCAATTAAAGTGGACCGACCTATAGCACCTTCCACACTCCCTTACTGAGTTTCAATAACTAAGAGGGCGGGGACTGTGTTTCCTTTGTTCGCCATTGTAGGTCTACCTTGTACAATATCTGTCCCATTGTAGGTACCTGGTAAGCATTTTGTTAAATGTCAATAAATGAATTCTTGCAGGGCAAATCTCCCATTTTAGGTCTTAAGAGGGAACAGAAGAAGATAGATGGATCAATGCCATCTTGCTACTACAGGTAAAAGAACCTAAAATAGACATCATCAGGGGCCCCACTAGCTTTTATGTTGCCTCTGCATGAATTAGGTAGAGGCGCCCACCCCTTCCTCAAGACACATTACTGCCATCTACTGGAAAATTATCTTACTAAAATGATAAATTTACCACCTCGACCATGTAAACGGTGCCTCCACAGATGGGGTGAGGCCGTTCACCAAACAACCTGCGCGGCCATGCGTGGCCACCTTGCGGGAAACACAAGCATGCATTACCAGAAGGGTGGATGTGGTCAGTGAGGAAGCCATCACATCTGTCTCCTGAAGCAGAGGAGGGGAGCCTTCCTGGGGAGCAGGGCTGCCGATTTTACCAGGGCTGATGGGAGCTTGCCGTATATAAATACTTACTATTCTGAAGCGTCAGGGGTATGGTGAGAACAAGACCAGAAGGTGTGTTTGATTTCTGCTCTTCATTTTCCGCCTCTATAATATTGCGAGGACCACTTAATCCTTCTACATTTTAGTTTCCTCATCTCTACATTGGGGGCAAGATCTTCTGCCTCAAGAGATATGTTTGCATATGCAGTGAGATCATGTACGCGAAAGGGTCTGGGAATCTGCTCAGCATTAGAAAAATGTCAGCTATTGCTAGCACGGAGAGCTCGCAGGAAGTAAATATTGAGCGACTATTCAAATCGCATTTCTACCACTCTCCAGCCACATAACCCTGGGTACGTTGCTTAATTTCTCTGGGGCTCAGCCTTCTCATCTGCAAAATAGGTATAATGATATTAGCATCTACTGCCCAGGAAAGTTGTGAGGATTAAAATCAGTAATAAGTGTTCAGTGAATGTTAACTACGAACTTTAAGATAGTTGTGGCTTGCTTTATGCTGTGCATTTTGTATTTCGTATTTCATTGAAACTCTTAAATAAGTCACCTTTGACTTTTTGAAAAAAAATAAATAGATGAAACAAAAGGGTTCCAGGGCCTTTTTGCAAAAAGAGCTGAGGCTGTGGGCATGGAATGATTCAGCACATTTCTATGGCTATGGGTCTGTTGTGATGTCTCTGATGTGTGAAAAGGAAACCTCCTGTTCACAGACCTTCTCCTCCCTCTCTACCCCATGCCTCCCCAACCACTCTCGGCCCGATCTGAATGCTGGCCCTGCTAGACTGCAGCTGCAATTTCTCACTAAGTGGTCAGTGAAACTGATTTCATGGATGTTTCATGATTTACAAAGTGAAAAGGAACTGAAGGGAGGGAACAGCCAGCCAGGCAGGCGGGGTGGGTCAGGTCAGCCAAGCAGTATCCTGGTTCCCATATGCTGTGGTTCTCCCCTCCACGCCCCTTCTCCCTGCAGCTCCTCTGGGCTGGGGCCCTGTGACGGCTGAGAAAATCTGCTCCGGGGGGCGCCAGCACAGTGAACCAGAGGGCCAGAGGGTTTTGAAATAGAAAGCCAGCAACAATGTTGCTAATTCAACTGCTGTCTAATGGCTGAGTCTCGTACGTACAGCTCCCTGGAGGAGCCGGATTGGCCTGTCCGGTAACAATATTTTATCCCGTCCTCTTTTCCATTTGTCTCCTCTTTACCACTGCCATGTCCCTCTCCACCCCCCAGTCTCTTCAGGGTATGGAGTGTTGGAGGGAGCAAGATGTTTGTCCTTCGTTTCTCATGTCACATTTCACTGGAGTAAATAGTACTTCATTTTCCTTCCTTCTGCCCCACAGAAGGAAAACTGCTGTGCATCGAGTTCCCGGGCTTGGTTGCTATGTGACCTGAAGCTGACATCTTTTGTGCGTGTCATGGTTTATAGCAGAGTGGTTAAAAATCCGCTCCCATTCTGGTGACTAAATTTTATTGACTTTTCCAGGGCCTGTGGTGGGACTGACATGTCCCCCATTTAATTACTTCCTCCTTTTTGACAGCAGATTGAGTTAACCAGAGGACACGCAGGTGGCTCTGGGGCCGGAGAACTTGGAGTGGCCATGGCTAGGCAGCTGAGAGGGGCTGGGGCGAGTGCGGGCTGGGGATGTAACAACCTGCTGGCAGTTGTGAGCTGTGGTTTTATGGTTGCGCTGGGGGCAATAACCAAACAGTGGGGCTTTTGGACTAATTTGAAGAATGCTTTGCATAAACCCCAGCTGCTAGCCATATGTCCGACCCTTGTAGAGGGGAGGGTGTGTTTCCCTGAGCTCTTGTTTCCTTCCCCAGAAGTCAAGACTAACCAAGCCTCTAAATGCCCAGCCCGGCTCTTTAGGGGAGGATAGTCGGCCACAAAAGCTTGAGCTGATTTAATCACAACTTAAATTTATATTATGCTTTACCAGATTTTTCCCTTCCAATAACATCGTGTCATTTTGTCCTCATAAAACCCCAAAATATAGGCCAGGTAGGAATCCTCCATTTACAGCTAAGAAGACTGAGGCCCAGGGAGGCTGTGACCAGTGAGAAAAGCAAAGATGTTGAAGCTTACTAGGCATCAGGCACTCTTCTAAACCCTCCAGAGCTCCTAATTCATTTCATGTTTGTGTCAGTCCTTCAAGGCGGGTGCCACTACTACCCCTGCTTCATGGATGAGGGAACTGAGCCCAGAGAGGTTACTTAACTTGCCCATGGTCACACAGCTAGTAAGTAGTGGAGCTGGGAGTTAAACCCAGGCAGTCTGGCTCCAGAGTCTGTATTTGTAACCAGTGTGCATGCTGCCAGATGGCTTGCCAGGGACAGAGCTGGAATTCTCATGCAGGTATTCACACACCAAGTTCAGGTTCTCCCCTTGTGCCATACCGTCTTCTGAATTTTGCTCCTTAAAGATCCTTAATTCCTGGGAGCATTCACCGCAGCAATTTAGATTTGGACTCTTTTCATCTGGTATCGCAAAGTCTTTCACTTAAATTCATTTAATTAGTCCCTCCGACCCACTTACCATGAAGTCGGAGGCATACCCAGTCCAAAGGAGCTATAACGCGTTGGGAAATTGCTCCCAAACCAACGCTTTGGAAAAATACAGGTATCTAGGTGTTGGGAGTTGTAAAGCTTGGCAGCCTAATGCCCGGAACAGGTATTTTCTCACGGCGTTTCCCCGGGAAGGAGGGGTGTGGTTGTCACAGCGCTGGCCGGGTTTGTGAGCAAGCGCACTTCCAAGTTTCACACACCCAGAGTCAGCCTCTCCCTTCAGGAAAAGATCATTCCAGCCCTGACTTCCCTGACAATTATGGGTTTCTTAGCTAAGGTGTCTCCAACAGCCTGTGGTTACGTGTGAACAAACCAGGTGGAAGGGGAGGGAGCCGTTTTAATGTGATAGTGTCTCCTGCTGTCCCGGGCCGACTCTCTCGCAAGAGAAAACTAATAACACCTTTGTTGCGCGTTCGCTGGTGTTCCCAAGAAAACCTAGGGGTGCGTCCAGATTTTTCTATTTCATAGCCCGAACCAACCACAGGCCGAATTCAGATTAGAATTCATTCATGATAATGGCCCCAAAGCAGGAGCGTGACTCCCACTTTCTGTTGGAAATGGCAATTTTCTCCCCTCATTTGGAAACTTAACTCCGCAGCCAGGCATTAGGTAACATGAAACAAGTAACAACTCAGCTTGGGCTGAGAAACCGCAGAAGGAGACTATTAGAAAGAGAGGAACAAAATGGTTTGGGTTGTAGTAATCATTAGTCATTTTTATGTCTTTTTTTTTTTTTTTTTTTTTTTTTTTTTTTTTTTTGGCAACAGTCCATTTCTCTAGGCAGGATTTCCCCAGAAGCCGGCCTTGCGTCGGCGATTTGGGTGCAGGTAGCTTATTTGGGCGGTGATTCCAGGAGGCATCATTAGGGAATGGGCACCTGAGGCTTGGCTCCACTGAGGATCTCAGGGAAGCGGTGTGGAATGTTCCTCACGGTCCTACCTGTGGAGAAGAGGAGCTAGGGTATTTATCCACCATCTCCTGTGACTCATTGGCTCAGAGCTGCCCCTGTATGTGTTAACTCCCCCGCACTCTGGCCTCTCCTGTTGGTGGCCTGAGAGCATCTCATTGGCTTACAGTAAGAAGGCATCCAGCTACATGAGGACAGCGAGTGCCAAGGGGATATGAGCAGGACCCTGACATCATCTGCTGCTCTCTGGGGGAAGAGGGGGTGAGGGGAGACAATATAATGTCATTAGGATTCTTCTGGTTGCAAGTGACAAAATCCCAACTCAACCTAGCTTGAGCCAAAAGAAAAAAAAAAGTAACATAGCTCTAGGTGCACCAATAATGCGATCAGGGCCCCCATTTCTGTCCATTTCTTGCTTGTGTTCTCTTCTGTGTTGGCCTTGTTGTCTGGCTGGCTGAGAAGACACTGGAAAAGATGGCAACTCTAAGCTTCCATGATCTTTATTCTCCTGACATCAGAGAAGAGCAGGGTTCCTAACAGCTCTGGTTAACATCTTAAGGAAGGCTCTGATTGGCCCATTGTGGGTCACGTGCCCTGCCCTGTATCAGATGATGTGGCCAAGAGGATGGAGCACTCTGATTGACCAGACTCAGGTCATGTCTTGGGTTGGGGAGGATGGTGTCACCTATGCTAATATCATGGACCAAGAAGAATCTCTGGGACCTGTGGAACTCATGCTTCTAGCAGTATGTTAAGCCAGCTTTTACATGAATGAACAAGGGCCCTGATGTGTGGCTGATTTCCATGGTATAGATACTCCCACCATGGCTAATTTGAAGCTACATGCTGTCACTAAACATGGAGTTGAGGAGAGTTGAGGAGAACAGTCAGCTCTTCCGAGCCAGTATGAGCTGGCTCAGCACCCCACCGAGTGATTCCCATAAAGAGGGACCCTGGGCACGTGGCGTAGCCCTGACAGCTGTCGAAGAGAAGGCCAAGTTCTATCTTGTGGAGCCTCAGTAGCCACAAAGGCCCAAATTAAAAACTGACGAGATAACTTGCTTTGTTTGTCATGTGCGATGCCCGGGACAGATGGGTATGTTAAACTAAGTGTTCTTCTTCCCCTATGGTCTTGATCTTGCAAGCACCTCCAGGATGTGCTTAACCGACAGGGTCTAGAAGAGAGCCCAGGAAAACACGTACGCATTCACAAACATGAAGTATTTGTTCCGTGAAGGCAGGAGTGCATGGTCAGTCTGTGGAGTTAGACGCGTCCCCTGACACCACAAACGTACCCACCTCATGCATAACCAGCTCTTCACTTGTGATGCCCAAGTGGTGTAGGCCCCACTTTATATCTCTTGGCTGCCACCGCAGGCCCTGCAGACTTTCTCATCCTCATCTTGGGAGGGGCCACTGTTGGTCACCGATGCCCTCAATCCACCTGCCACACCGCTTCCTGGTGTGAGGAAAGTGCCACTTCGGTCCTTTGTCCTGTGATTGCCACTGTGTTCCCCTTGCTCCTCGACTTCTCTAAGTCGGTGGTGCTGGTCGTTTTAGGCCAGGAGGGGCAGCTCTCCCTTCCTACCTTGGGGCTCAGCCACGTGAGCCCGCTGGGGCTTGTCTGATTCGTCTCCTTACACACTGGCACAGAGAACTTTCTGCCTTTGCAGTTCTTTTGTTTCAAAATAAAAACCACGGCTAGGAAGCTGCGAGGTTGGAAAGTTGTTACACACACACACACACAC